TCACCAGAAATTGCCGTGATGCCATTTGTTGTGAGATGGTCCACAACATTTTCTACACTATATTGGAATCCCATATAGCTAGTGTTTGATAGCCTACCCGTCATGGCTATTGTAATCAAAAGATTACTTTCGCCGCCTTGCCAAGTTTCATACCCATGAGTTTGTATGACAACTTCTACATGATTATGGAAGTCCTCAATACTTAGAACCATATCAGGGAACATGTAGACTAGCTGCGTTCCTGCAGAGAGGTCGACTTCCATAGTCCATGATGATTTGTCGACTATCTTCCCATCTAGTGTCCCGAAGGACAACTAGAGCATTTGTTCCCGCACTTCTCCGGTGGAGTGCATGTAGCCTGATCATGAATATTCCTAGGTGAATATGCTGGAGCCCTGAAGTTCTCAAGTTCTGGTAGCTTTCTTGGTTACACAGCCGAAGGTTAACTTGATTTTCTCCAACACATAGGATTCTTTGCTCAGAGTAGTGTTCATAGACTCTGTGTCTTGTAGTACTTCTATTGTTTGAATAAAGTACCTCTGCTGGAACAAGATTTGCCCTTCTCTCTCTTGATATTTCAAGTTGTCTTTCTGGATCTACAACAGACTCCAAGGTGCGATTATAGCTGTTTCTTCCAAATACTCTTCTTGTTGCCCTAGCTGTTGATATCTGTTTCGGGTCATTTGTCGATAACCACGAATTTGATCTTCTTGAGTTGGGAGTTCTGTTTGAGTTTGTGTGGAACTCCTGTTGAGGATGCTAGGCCTTCTGAAAGTCATTTCTTTGATTCTTTCCCAAACTGTTCTTTAAAGATTTTGTTAGGATCTTCAAACGACGTAGATTTGCCCGTTACTTTTCTTTACTGGAAGTTTCCCACTAATAGAGAAATTATCAAGTCTTCTGGTTAAGCTTGATATTGAGTCTTCAAGATCTGCTGGCTGAGTATTTTGTTTGATAACAGTTTGAACTTCTTGTTGAGCTTGTCAAACTTTTCTTCAATCTCAATCAGTTTCTGACTTTGCTTAGTTGCTAAGTAAAGCAAGGTGTTGTTTTGTTATAACAACCTTTACTTGGCTAACTAGAGCTTCTTTGTAGTCGGTTGTTTTTGCAAAACCAACTGCTGGTGATTCAAAGTCTTCAGTGGCTTGTATGGCTTCCTGATACTCAGTAGTTGCCTTTGATTGGCAATACTCATCCGGTGATGAGCCTCTTGACTTCGTGAAGAAGATTTTCAACCTTCTGGGTTTTATGATTGAGTTCTTCTGTTAGTCTGAGGGCTTCTTTCTCAACTAATTTTGGTTGCTCAGCTATTTCTTGAACAAGGCTCAGGACTTCTCTTTTTGTGAGTGGTTTAGATTGATGGATCTCAGTTGAGATTGTTGAAAGCTTTTTCTGGTTTCACTCTGAGTTTTTCTTAATAACTCCTCACAGGATTCAAGCTTCTCTTGACAATTTGGACTTTTGACTCAAGATTTTTGTTTTTCAGAAATACTTTTAAAATTCTTAAGTGCTACTTTAGAAAAGAGATTTAAACGATTTAAATACAAGCTAAATTATTGGCTAAATCGGTAGTTGTAGGTTTAGAACTATTTTCTTTAAAAATGATATACTCAAGATCCACAGTTCGTGAATTATCGTACCAATTTTGTATCTCTTGCTCAAAGCGATCGGACATAACATAAAAAACTTCAAAGGTTTATATTTACAAACTTGTTTTAGGACTCACCAAACGGTTAACTTCAAACACTTACCGACTCTTCGGTACTTTTTAATAGAAGCAATTGCGCTGTCTTTTATCTAAAAACAAGGGTTTTATGAAGTTTTAACAGAAATGTTACCGTAGAAATACAAGAAATTGATAAAATAATACATTTACTGTTTTTCCTGAATATACCTTAGGAGTTTAGCCTTCCATAGAGCTAAGAACGTTTTGATTCAAAGCTTTGATACCAAGATAAAAATTACACGTTGCCAGAAATTTTTTATCTTGTACTAAAGCTCAAAAACTAAAACTTTAAAGTACACACCTTTTTTTTAAAATACTGCGGAAGCTTTGTTACAATGGTGGTGGTGGTGATTGTAGGTGAATGGATTCGATGATCCCAAACTTAGAACTTATGCCTTTATATAGATGGGCTTACAAACTAATTGGACAAGAATAAAAACGTAAGCGATGACGTTTAAACAAGGGCCATTATTTAATTTTTACATGTGGCCGACAATCTTGATAATTATAAAGATACTTTTAACAAGTGGTGGGGGACTTCTTGAAGATTTCTGAACATCCAAACAACTCAACTTTTGAAAACCGTGATATGTGAAATAATTTCACATACGGGCCCTTCTAGCTTTTGGATAAAGGTATGGATCCATGGGACGATTCAATTTTATCGTTTTTAGACAATAATCATCCCACCGGGGTCCACAATAAAATTGAATCGTCATCACGGTTGTCACTATCTTCTAGAAATCCTTTGCTGTTGTAGCGGCATTTGTTTTCTTTTTGTTATTGTCTTGGACTTCCATGGGCTTAGATATTATTGCGGCCCAATCGTTGTGCGAGGGCTTCCAGTTCGATGAGGATTCTTCGGGCTTCTTTGTTTTGGATTCGAACATCTTCCTTTTGGTCAGACCAATGGTTGTCTCTTGTTGATTTTCCAAAGCAGACTTGAGCTTTGCACTGTATGATTGCTTGTAAATTTCGCATTGCTTTGATCGCTTCTTTTGCTGCTGATAATTCGATATCTTGGGCGACTGATCTCCATGCATCAGATTTATCCATTCTGATTGGGGTTTGATTGGCTCTAAGCTGGTATTGTCTGTACATTGCTCCTGGTTCTTCCAGTGTGAAGATTGTTTTAGTAAAGATTCTTGGGAGTGGTTGAAAGTCTTCATGATTTCTTCGCAAGTAATCTTCATATTCTTCTGAGAGGCAGAAGGGGATTGTAGAACTTCCTCCACTGAGTAAAGGGCTGCTGCTGGCTAACCGTTTCATTTCTCCTGTGCATTCTGCAAAACAAAGGTTAACAAGTCTTGAGAGAGAATCAGCTAGTGTATTATGTTTCCCTTCTATATGCTCTATGTTAATCTTGACGCCTGTTCCTGTGACTGCATCTGCAAACTTTATCCACCTGACCCTTGAGGATTTGTTGCTATTAGCTTTGTTGTAAAAGCTAATAATGGCTTGGCAATCTGTCCTTAAAGTGATTTCTTGTTTATCAAGGTAGTAGATTTTTAGTTTCTCCAGAGTGTTGATGCAGGCATTGATTTCAGCATCAATTGTGGATTGGGTTGTTGAGAACTTGCCACTTGCATATGCACAAATCTTTTCTGAGCTTCTTGGTCCTTCCTTTTTGTTTTCATTTGACTATACCTCCCCATCCTTCCATACATCCGTCTGTTTCTAGGATGATATAAGCATCTTCAGGTGGTATCTCAAGGTCTGGGAGATTCTGAACTTGCATCTTGATCCTTTTATTAACTCATAATCAGAGGGCTTCAATCTTTTGTCTCCATGAGCATTGTCTTTTCGTACAGTGGCCTTAATAGTATCCCAAGTTTTGGGATATGATTACGAGCATAGTTAAGGATTCCTAAGAATGACCTTAACCCCTTCTTTGTCTTCAATTCTTCTTCGTTGAAGTTCACAATCTTCTTTATGATGTGCGGTTGCAACCTTATTGTTCCTTCTCCTACGACTACTCCCAGAAAATCTATTGTTGGGACTGCTATCTTCATCTTTGTTGGAGATAGGACTAGGCCATTATCCTCACATATTTGCAACATCTTTTCCAAGTGCTTTGCATGTTCTTTTTCGTTTTTTGAGAAAACCAGTATATCATCAATATATACTGCGATAAATGATTCTGTTCCTCTGAAGCATTTATCCATTTTTCTTTGGAACACTGCTGGGGCATTCTTCAAACCAAATGGCATAACTAGCCATTCATAAAGTCCTCCAGGTACTAAGAATGTTGTCCATGGTATTGATTCTTCATCCATGGCGACTTGATGGAACCCTGATTTGAGATCAAATTTTGAGAAAATTTTTTTGCACCTCCTATTCTCTTGATGATCGTATTTATGCCTGGTAAGGAGTATTGGTCCTTGATGTGTGTTGTCATTCAAGGATTTATAATTAAAAACCATTCTTTTCTTCCCTTTGACCTCCTTTCCAGTTACAGGATCAATTGTTGTTCCTGAGTTTACGATCATTGCCATCGTTCTGTGTCTGCTTTTGCTTGGTCGAATAGCACCAATCTTGAGTAAACTATCAACATGTATTCTGAACGAATCTTCCATTGCTGGTGTCACATGTTTTAGTGGTCGATCTTCAATTGTAATGTCTGGATTTATAATATCCAGTTTACAAAGCTCACCATTCTTCTTCCAATGCTTTAAAGGTTCTTCTCCGATGTATCCTTGGAGCTTTAACCTATCAATGACAGGTTTAAACCGTTCTAGGAATGCATTGTTACCTTCTTGTTGAAATAAATAGATTCATTTATTTCAAAGAAATCTTCTTCACTAATTTCAAGCTCAGTGATGGCAACTTCAGCAACCTCAGATTGCTCTGAAGTTTTGATCTTGGTAACCTTCTTATAAATAGTTATCTCATCACCTTCTATACGAATTCCTCCTTTCATGGACCTTAGGAAGTTGGTACCTATCAGCATTTCAATGCCATTGCTGCCATGCATATCAAATGCATATATAAGGGGAATTTTGAACTTGTTTCCCTCGATGAGAAAATAGCCTTGCTTTATTTTGTGAGTTGCCTGCTGTCTTGAATTTAAACCATTAAAGAAAACACTGTGGTTTAAAGGTTCAAGTGCTTCTTCTGGAATAACCTTCTTGTTTATGCAGCATGCTGATGCTCCTGTGTCTATTATTGCGCCGATCCCAAATGCTGGGCAATTAGGGATATCAAACTCAACTTTTACGTTGTAAAGTGAGTTAGTTATCTTCCTAACTTTTGGGTTTGATGTAGCATTTTCAGATTAATGAATCTCTGCTTCCATGAAGGGCCTTGCTACATGAAGTTCGCTTAACGGTGGGAATTCTTCTTTAGGGAATTGAGGCTTTTCCCTTTCTTCCTTCCTTTCTTGTAGTTGCTCCTTCAGCCTTCTTATTTCTTCGTTCTTTTGTTCTTCAAGCCTTACTTGTTCAGCTTTAAGCTGATCGATTATCTTAAGAGTATCTGTGAGATCTTTTGTTAGCAAGCCTTTTTCAAGCTGCCATGCTTCCTCTCTCTTTTGTATTTCTGCCTTGGTCTCATAAAACTCTTTGGCTTGATCCTTAATCATCTGCTGCATTTGCTCCGTCTTCTCTTTCAAAAGTTCTTTGAGAAGCTTTATTTCCCTATTGGTAAAGTCACTTTCTTCTTCCGGCTTAATCTGCTGTTTTTTCTTAACGTTAACTGTTTTGCCAAGATAATTTTTGGCGCAAAGAGCACATGTTGTGAGTTGGCAACTTGGGACAGTTAAGTCTTGACACGTCTGTGGTTAGTATTCCACAGTAATAACAGATCGTGTAATTTGTGACTGTGTTTTCCTTCCAATCATGCTCACAGTTTTACTTTGAGCTGGCAATTCTTTGCTTGGTTTCCACGATCCTACGGATTGAACCATATCTGCTATTTGTTTGGTGGTCCTGGATGGAACATGAAAGCATAATGACTATGTTGGATTCCTCTCTTTCATCTTCGCTGCTACTTTCATTATCTTCATGTGTTATTGTGAAAGCTGCTTCTTCAAATGGAGTATCTTGGACCATAACACTGATGCTTTGATGGGTATCGCCTTCTCCTTCTGATATACTATAGACACTGGTGTCATCAAAGTCTGCTGAGACAATGTCCCAGTTGTCATCAAGATCCAGTTCTTGATAGACAGCTGATCTTGCAATGTTTCCTTGCTTGCTTTTGCAATCTTTTGCGAAATGCCCTTCCTTTCCACAAATAAAGCATTTGCATTTCTTGACTCGTCCTCTGTCATCTTTGTACTTTCTTTTGAATGGCTTTACATGAGAACCATGTGGCTTTCCTTTGTAAGTCTTCGACTTCCTCATTCCATACTTTTTCCTGTTGTTTTTGTAATAACCAGGAATTGGTATGGCTGAACAAAGAGATAAATCTCTAAGCTTTTGGCAAGCGCAGCATCTTTGCACATTTCTGAGATGAAAGTATGAGTGAATTTGATTGCAGGCAGAACTCCTGGACTTAGACCAGGGTACCTGGCTTTAAATGATTCTTCAACTTTCTTGGATAGAGAAGGTGGAAGTTTAGCAAAAAGTTTTTCTGTTGTTGAGGGGAAGTACAGCCTTCTAGACTTTATTGCTAACTGCCTGAAATCCTCCAAGAATGTCCACAAGTTCTTGGTTTCGTCACAAGTTATTCTGTCTAGATCTCTGTAGGCTCTGTCTTGTTCATCAGTTGAGCCTCGGTATGGATCTTCTAACAATATTAACTGCCTAACTTGTGATGTTATATTATGTGGTTCATCTGCGATTGCTTCAAGGGCAACATATACATCTGGGTATGTCGTTCGCCATTGTTGCCACATTAACTTTTCGCTTTCTCCAAGAAGATTTTCAACAAAGGCTAATTTTGCTTTGTTGTCAGTCCATGTTTGGCTATTGAGCCTATTGATTGTTATAGACTCCCATCATGCTATTACATCTGACCATAAGCCTGGATCTGCTGGTAGAACAAGCATTACACCTCATTCTGTCCATGCTGGTGGCAGAGTCCACTGTGAATTATGATATTCACCGTACCTCCATTAAAAATATTGCCTTTTCCTTTAGGGTAACCAAACTGGTAGTCTGGTCTATAAATTGGTTGTGGATTTTGCCGTGCTGGTGGGTAGACAGCTGGTCCTAATATTGCATCATCTGGATGGTGCCAAGATAAAAATTACGTTGCCAGGAATTTTTTATCTTGTACTAAAGCTCAAAAACTAAAACTTTAAAGTACACACCCTTTTTATTAAAGACTGACTGCGGAAGCTTTGTTACAATGGTGGTGGTGGTATGGTAGATGAATGATGATGATCCCAAACTTAAAACTTATGCCCTTATATAGATGGGCTTAAAACTAATGGACAAGAATAAAAAACTAATTGATGACGTTTAAACAAGGGCCATTATTTAATTTGTTACATGTGGCCGACAATCCTTGATAATATAAAGAATCTTTTAACAAGTGGTGGGACTTTCTTGAAGATTTCTGACATCAAAACAAATCAACTTTTGAAAACCCGTGATATGTGAAATAATTTCTCATACGGGCCCTTCTAGCTTTTGGATAAAGGTATGGATCCATGGGACGATTCAATTTTATCGTTTTTTTATGTCCGATCGCTTTGAGCAAGAGATACAAAATTGGTACGATAATTCCCCCACGAAAACTTGGATCCTGAGTATATCATTTTTAAAGAAAATAGTTCTAAACCTACAACTACCGATTGAGCCAATATTTAGCTTGTATTTATAATGGTTTAAATCTCTTGCTAAAGTAGACTTAAGAATTTTTAAAAGTATTTCTGAAAAACAAAAGAGATCTTTGAGTCAAAATCCAAAGTGGTCAAGAGAAGCTTGAATCCTTGAGAGTTATTAAGAAAACTCAAGTGAAACCAAAAACGCTTTCAAAAAATCTCAAACTGAGATCCATCAATCTAAACCACTCCACAAAAAGAGAAGTCATGAGCCTTGTTCAAGAAATAGCAGAGCAACCAAAGTTAGTTGAAAGAACCCTCAACTAACTGAAGAACTCAATCATAAAACCCAGAAGGTTTTAAAATATTCTTCACGAAGTCAAGAAGGCTCATCACCGATGAAGTATGCCAATCAAAAGGCAACTACTGAGTATCAGGAGACATACAAGCCACTGAGACTTTGAATCACCAGCGTTGGTTTTTGCAAAAACAACCGACTACAAAGAAGCTCTAGTTAGCCAAGTAAAGTTGTTATAAAACAAAACAACACCTTGCTTTACTTAGCAACTAAGCAAAGTCAAAACTGATTGAGATTGAAGAAAAAGTTGACAAGCTCAAACAGAAGTTCAAACTGTTATCAAACAAAATACTCAGCCACAGATCTTGAAGACTCAATATCAAGTTTAACCATAAGACTTGATAATTTCTCTATTAGTGGGAACTTCCAGTAAGAAAAGTAACGGGCAAATCTATTCTTTGAAGATCCTAACAAAATCTTTAAAGAACAGTTTGGGAAAAAAAAGAAATGACTTTCAGAGGCCTAGCATCCTCAACAGGAGTTCCACACAAACTCAAACAGAACTCCCACTCAAGAAGATCAAATTCGTGGTTATCGACAAATGACCCGAAACAGATATCCAAGCAGCTAGGGCAAACAAGAAGAGTATTTGGAGAAACAGCTATAATCTCACCTTGAGTCTGTTGTAGATCCAGAAAGACAACTTGAAATATCAAGAGAGAGAAGGGCAAATCTTGTTCCAGCAGAGTTACTTTATTCAACAATAGAAGTACTACAAGACACAGAGTCTATGAACACTACTCTGAGCAAGAATCCTATGTGTTGGAGAAAATCAAGTTAACTTCGGCTGTGAACCAAAAAGCTACCAGAACTTGAGAAATTCAGGGCTCCAACATATTCACCTAGGAATATTCATGATCAGGCTACATGCACTCCACCGGAGAAGTGCGGGAACAAATGCTCTATTGTCCTTCTTCGGGACACTAGATGGGAAAGATAGTCGACAAAAATCATTGGAACTATGGAAGTCGACCTCTCTGCAGAACGCAGCTAGTCTACATTTTCCCTGATATGTTCTAAGTATTGAGGACTTCTAATCATGTAGAAGTTGTCATACAAACTCATGGGTATGAAACTTGGCAAGGCGGCGAAAGTAATCTTTTGATTACAATAGCCATGACGGTGGCTATCAAACACTAGCTATATGGGATTCCAATATAGTGTAGAAAATGTTGTGGACCATCTCACAACAAATGGCATCACGGCAATTTGCGGTGAAAGAAGAGAGTATAGAAGAGCTTGAAGGAATGAGCTGGAATCTAAAGCCATCTGAGCAACATCAGTAAGTGTACCATCAAGAGTAGCGGTACATGAAAGGCTTAACAGATCATTAAGTCTCCAATTTGAAAGATATCGCCGAACCCCCCCAACCAGCAAGATACTCTTTGACCAGAATGATCGAGAATATTAGGTAACGATCATTTGGACGAAGATGAAGAGCATTTTATAGGAGACAGTTTTTTAAAACCCCTCAGACAAAACATATCCCCCTTGATATATGTTTTTGTGAAGAATGTCTGGATGAAGCAACTCTTGGAGAATGAGCCACTGAACACAGCGACGTTCCAATAAGCCAAGACGATCAAAACATAAATGGTCAACTCTTGGTGAACCATCTGGAAAATGGGACTATTATGTCATGTACGATACCCTCAGTAAGCACAACTTCAATAGAAGAAATCAGCAACTGCTGGGGAGATGGATTCCCAGATGATGAAATTAACCCCAGGAAAAGTGACAATTATGGACAAAACAAGTGACTGGGATGATGATGAAAGAAGGGTGGAAAGATCCTTGTCCTACGAGAAGAATTTCAAAAAACCAACAAGATTTTATTGATGAATATTTGCACAATGGGATGACTAACTCGCCACACAAAGATCAGAGTCTGAATGGGAAAACCCATTCGCAGCGAAGCATGGTGAGGACCATACAATTCTTCATCTTTCCAAAGAAGATGATGACAATCTGCCATACCCAAATTTCGCAACTTTAAACAAATGGCAGCACAAATGGTTAAAAAACACGAAGAACATGCTTTTCCAACAGCAAATGACGCAGAATCTGGTGCAAGCTATCAACCTCCAGATGATGCAATATTAGGACCAGTGTCTACCCACCAGCACGGCAAATCCACAGCCAATTTATAGACCAAACTACCAGTTTGGTTACCCTCAAGGAAAAGGCAATATTTTTAATGGAGGATATGGTGAATATCATAATTCACAGTGGACTCTGCCACCAGCATGGACGGAATCAGGTGTAATGCTTGTTCTAAACCAGCAGATCCAGGCTTATGGTCAGATGTAATAGCACGATGGGAGTCTATAACAATCAATAGGCTCAATAGCCAAACATGGACTGACAACAAAGCAAAATTAGCCTTTGTTGAAAATCTTCTTGGAGAAAGCGAAAAGTTAATGTGGCAACAATGGCGAACGGCATACCCAGATGTATATGCTGCCCTTGAAGCAATCGCAGATGAACCACAGAATATAACATCACAAGTTAGGCAGTTAAT